TATATATATATATTATTTTCATTTTGATATATAACTTTAAAATATTTTATAAAATCAATAATGAAAAATATATTTTTAAAATATATAATTAATTTAACAAAATTTATAAAGAAAAATTAGACTTAAATATTTTTTGATTATATAAAATGAACAAGTTTTAATTTTGATCTCTGTATTTTTTTAAAATTTTTATCCTTTTAAAATTTATAAACATTATTTTTTGTCTCAATAAAATAAGAAAATTTTGGTTTTTACCTCTAAGTTTTTTTTTATAATATTTTTATCTCAAAAACTTAAAATCATTAATTTTTATTCCTAATGACTATTTTAAGGTATATTATAACACTTACTTTAAAGATTTATAAAGATATTTGGAAGTGTTACATGTAGATAAAGTATCATAGATGACGGTACCACTTGTGATACTCACACAACCTTCTAATGAATACATAAGTTGTTAAAAATGTCATATGATAATAAAAATTAAAACTATAATTTCAAATTTTAAAGGGATATACTTAACAAATAAACTTTTCATAGGGAGCAAAACATGCTCATTTTGTAGTGATTAAAAATATAGTTAAGCTAAAATTTTATAATAGCAATTAAATATATAAATTATGAGATAAATTATTATATTATAACATATTTGAATTTTTTAAGAAGGAAAATGTTTATTTTTGCACAAGAAGGGAAAGTGATGTAATATTTATATATGTGACTCATTTTAGTGTACATAAAGGTTATTTTAGGAATAATTTTTTTTGTAACGAAAATTTAACAAATTTTTTTAAAAATGAACAAAGGGTTATATATTGAAATTTGTTAAAGGAGGGAGCTATAATTTCTATCTTAAGAGAGAAGGATAGTGTAAAATTTGTATATCTCAAAAGAGGAGACGAGAGTGTAATTTATTCAATATATATACTTATTTTTTATAAAGTTCAATAAACTATTTTCACATTTATCTTTGTGTTAATTTATTACAAAATAGGTTATTAAAAGACTTTTAGATCAAACCAAACTTTTATGTAAGACAAATCAAACTTTTAAAAAAGCCCATAGTAAATAAACAAATGAAACCTAGACTATGTTTTTTTTTAATCAATATTAGCCTTGGAAAAAAAATTATAACTTATTCTCATCCCTAATTGATAACATTAAAAATAATTTATTTTTCATACAATTACAAATCATTTTAGATACAAATTTTGAAATTATTATAATAGTCATTAACAATATGTTATTAAATGATAAGATAATTATTTACAAGTCAATATATTTTAACTAAATTCTAAAAATAAATCTATACATTAATTAACAAAATTTAGTTCACCATTAATTGATTATTGAAGTAATAAAGAGAAATAAATTTTCATTTTTTATATGCAACAATGCAAAATTGAAATTTGCACGTTAGATTATGTAGTGTATATTTTTTTCAACCAAAAATAACATAGGGGTAGAAAGATATCCCACCCACCCACGTTCAGAAAGGCATATATCTTGTTCAATATATACATCTTTCCTACTCCACATAGCCTATCAACCATCATATAGCACTTACGAAGATTATGACAAAATGTATAACTATTGTCATTAGATGTCCTTCAAACATACCAATGTGGATTCATATACCACTCATAAAATGAAAAAGAAATAAAAGTCTTCATATAGCTATGCTCAAGATCTAAATTTAATTAATTCAAGTACATATTTAAGAATTTTATTCCTAAAAAATTGAAATTTCAAGTGCCCAAAGATTCCACACAAGAGCTATCCACCACGTCATGTCAATTTTCTTACCACAAAGACCTCTAGTATGTTGTAGAAAGTGTTCTTTAGTCTCCATGGGAAAGCCAACTTGAACACCTTACCACCTTTGACGTTTTATCCAAATACAAGATGAGAACCTGCAAGAGAACCTAATGTGACCAGTTATTTCTTCCTCCAAATTTCAAAATGAATAGTAGAATTTTTGAATAATCAAACATTTCTCTTCACTGCATCAGGTTATCTTTTATTTGTATGCCATCCATGCATAGATATTTCTATTTCCTAAAAGTAAGGGTGTGCATGAAAGATTACATGATTGTTGTAGAGATATTTGACTACCATCATGCTTCTAGAGCTGGCCCAATAATAAATGAGATTTGAAAAATAATTTTGGATAACGTTTTATATTTAAAATAAAAGAGCTACATGTTAAACCTTGCAAGACAAATGACAATAGACTCCTAATCTCCTATCCCTCCTTTAGCCTACATATGGTTGATCCCAATAGACCCATGTTAAACTCCTCTTCCTTCTCACTCCAAAGAAAGTTCCTCTGTAAGTCTTTTAAATTTTTATAAAAAATGACAAAAAGAATAAAAGAAGAGAATGTATGATATAATACACATAATTATTATGTATTAATTTCCCTACGATCAAGAGACGCTTCACGTTTACAAAGAACACACAAGGATTTTGATTTCCTATATAATATTATTATTGTCTCCCATTCTTACGTCTAATTAACATATTAATTTGTGATCTCATTTAGTCATCAGGTTTTAGTAACAAACAAAACAACCAATATTTAATTTTTTTTTTATACAAGTTAGCAGTATTTTTTTAAAAAAAAATTATTAAAAATACTCTTTATTTTTTATAATATTTTTTAAAATACTTTTAAACATATATCCAAACATAATCTTACCTTAATAACAACTTGAAATGTAGTTATTGAACTCCTCTTCGTGGTGCCATCCCCCGACACACAATGCGCGCCCCCATCTGTATAAACTGTATATGTAAATATTTGTTATGCTAAACTACGAATCTGAAATATCTGTGTTTTTAATACTTTTTTTTTTTGTTGCATTATTTGATATATTTTAATATGAAATCATAATAAAAATGCTTATATCCATTCTGTGAACTGTGATTCTCCTTTCTTCATGTACTCTTATATTCTCTTCAACAACCAAAAAGTAAATAAAAATGTGTATTGTAGTATACTATAGTATCGCATGCATAAGGTAAAGCTGACCACTTAAACAAGAATGGGGCTCCTCTTTGTTTAGGGAGTGATTCCTCTAAAATAACTAAGAACAGTTTAAATAATATAGTTAACTCATAATGAGTGCTTAAAAAATTAATTAACAATCAAAATAACGACAAAAATTTGGGTCAATCCAATATATACATAAGCTTAACGCGAATATTACAACAAGACATTTAAAAAAATTAATTAAGTATATTATCATCTAATTAGTGCTTGTATGAAGATAATTTTAATAAAAATAGGAGCTATTTTTAGATGAAAATATTTAGTTATTCTTAATATTACTTCTTACTAGTATTTGGTAAGAGAAAATAAGTAATACATTATTAGCGTAAAATATCTTTATACAATTATTTAATTACAAATTATGTATTTATAGTAAGTTGTTGACTTTTATAACAAATAAATAAATGGACATACTAATGGAGATATATGATTATTTAATGCATGATCATCAACATTTATTTTTAAATTCTTAATTTAAAGATATTAACCAGTGGTGTAAAAAAAAAATATTAACAAGTAAAAAATATTATTGGGGTCTAAATTCTAAAATGAAGGGCCTTTTACTTATACAAACTTTAAATTTAGTCGGAATTAATTTTCTAACCAATATTTATTAGTACATTTAATTATGTTGCATTGTTCTAATTTAGATGAATCAAAAGATATGTTATTAAACCCAGAGTCAGCAATTAAAGGTCAAGCTATATATACAGGAGTTTGATGTGGTGGCAAGAGCTTCTCCCATCTTTGGATCTCTTCCGCACTATGAAGCTTTCTAATTCCTCCATAGTATGCAGTTGTTTCTCCACTTTGTTCCCCATTTCTGAGTAGCATTACTCGTCTCATTCTTGATCCATTATAGTATTGCTTGAACTCCACGATCAATTTCTCTGTCACACGAAAGCATGTTAATTAAGTACACTGTACACACGAGGTATTCATCTAATTAAAACAATGGTTAAAATAGCAGCAACTATGTGTGTGTTTGGTTTTCATTCTGAAACGCAATTCAGTTGTCTCTTTCTACGTTTGCATCCAAATTTAAGTAGAAGTAGGTATTTGTTGCTTCAGGTTGAACGTGAAAAATCACGTTACAACGCAGATGCAAACACACGCTATATATGTGGTGATTTAATTTGGAAAGGGAGTACATGCTCAAATGATCAGCTATATATATATATATAACTCTATATTGTCATGAACACATGCATGAATGATTTTATATCCAACACAGTTTAATTAGTAACATGTCATAGTGGAGTTAAATTCCCAAACTAATTAACATGTTAATTATATTAAAGTCATGTGAGACATGCATGCCAATTTGCCAAATAATGCAAAAAGATTTCTCACCAGAGTCGCCACAACGGCACAACTTCTCATTTTCACTGCATGATTCCATGTGACCAATTACAGCATACCACCAATCTGCAACTCATTCGTAATTTAGGCATTACTTTCTGAAAATTGATAAAGCTTTTCGAAGAAAACATGGCAGAGAGAAAATAACTAATTCGATACAAATTAAATAACAAGAGAATAAATAAAAAAAAGTTAACTTTTTCGAAAAATTCTTTCATTTTAAAGTTTTCTTCATAATTAGAAGAAGAAAAAATATTTTTCCAAGATTTATATTTTGTTTAAACTAACTTTGTCTTTTAAAGAAAATGAAAATAAAAAAAATAAGTTAGACAAAAATTCCTTAATATTAGAGAATAACAAACTTAATTGACGTAACATTTTCAATATTATCCAGAACAGATCATATATATCCTAAGCAATATTTATAATGTTTTATTCAAGTAAAATTCAGTATGCATGAAATCATACATGGTAGAATAGAAAGTTAACATGCAATTTAAATGATGATAAATATATTTGCACAAAAACTTGATGATTACCTAAAAGTCCTATATACTAAAGTCCCCGACTTAAAATTTGACCAGGAATAGGCAATGAGGCAAGAATTAAACTTACCATAAGCAATTTCTCTTCTTGACTTCCGTTGGATCTCTATATGATCCCCTGGCTTTAAGTCTTGTAAACAATCAGAGATGTGTCGATCACATGGAGGGGTATCAACTGGGGGAACTCTAAGGATATCCCATTGGATGTTGCTACCAACTGAGTGCCAACCCCCATTTTGTTCTCTACAAAAAAGAGATTGTATACTCACAATTTCTATTGATATAAAACTTTTTTGAATAATGATTAAAAATAAATTCACAAAAATGCTTTACATCTTATATTAAGGTTCCATTTTAATATATTTTTATAAGAAAATGAGATATAAAATAAATTTCTGCTTTTATAAATTAAATAAACTTATAAACTTTAATTTTTATAGAATTCTTTTTCATCTGATATATCTATATAGAAGTTGATATATATAAGCTGTTTTTATTTTATAGAGGTTTGCTTCACTCTACTATTTATTTTCTTCTTTTGCAGATGTTTACTAATAAATTTATCTAAATTGAGCGTAGTTTATCAAACTAAAAGAGTAATACTGTCACTCCTCGTGTTAACAAAATTGATCTCACTAATTATTTCCCTACCCTATCCCCTTACCTTGCTTCAAAGTTATCAGTTTTGGAATTATATCTAACTAAGGCGTCACGAGCCAATGATCCCTGAAAAAAAAAGGAAAGAAATGTAAATGAATCCCAATAAGAATTTGTCAATGAAAAAATTAATATAACCCATAAGCTAATGAGGTTTACCCTGTAAATTTGAGCTGGAAACCAGAACTTGCCATTCTCGAGAGAGAAATACAAAGTCATCATAAAGCAATTTGCCAAAGAGCTACTAAGATGGTTACAATCTTCTAGATATGACCTGAGGTATAACATAGGCCAAGTACCATAAAAAGACCCTAGTGATCTATTCTGATTGCCATGTTGACTAAGTTGGTCAATTCCTTTCTCCTTTGCTGTTGTAATATGCCATTTCCATTCCTCGTAAGCAACACCACCAATGACTCTACCCCATTTCTTCTTTACATGCTCTTCCCACAAAGGATCACTTCGGCACCTATCCCTTAAATAAGTACACACTTCAGACATTTCAATGAGTTCCATTGGTGAAAGGAGCTTCAGAATACAATCCAATATGGGTTCTGGCAAATTCAAGAGACAAATATTGCCAATAATGTCCATGGTATGGTCAAAGAAGGGTGAATATTTGTAAGTAACTACTAGGGTTATTGTGAGCTTCCCTTATATATGAATGAAGTGAGAGAAGATAAGATCATCAGAGTTGTTGAAAGGAATTGCAAACCTTTGCCTATTTCCAAAACATTTAAAGATATATATATGGACTTACTTTTTGTTTTCTTATAGTATTATTATTTGTTATGAGTTGTCCCAAAAGAGACATATTCCTCGTTGCTTACGTGATGATCTGTGTCTGATGTTTGTCACTATCATGCTGGGCCGGCTCTTCCTTTGTAGTATTTTAAGGTAAACGTTAAATTCAGATTAAACTATAGTTACTTGCGAGGGTCAAAATATATATATATTTTTTATGTGGTTTATATGTACAGATATACATGGACTACATGATTGAACCCAACCTACATGTTAATTTTGTCGTTTGGATCAAGGGGCCGATTGTTAAATCATTACTCGCTGTTAACCTATTTTTTTATTTTTTTAAAAAATAAAATGTAAATATCATAAATTTTTAGAAAAATTATCTGACACAGACACATATATTATAAAACCATCCTTAAAATTTAAGAATAAAAATTTAAAATCAAATCCAGAATATTTTTTATGAATCAACTTGTTAATTTAACTAAAACTAAATTTCATCTCTGAAACAAAGTTTTAGGCTCAATTCTCATAAATTAAAATCTGCAATCAAAAGGAGATTCACTAAATTCATAGCAAAAAAAAAAAAAAACCCTCTCATAAGACTTTTAAATGAATTAACTATAAATTTATTAAAAAATATTAGTCATTAGCGAAAGTTCATACATATAATATAGTGATTAGAAAGTCATCCATTTATTAATAATTTTAAAATTTAAATATTCAAAGCATAACTAAAATATAAATTAGGATCTTAAAATCAAATTCTCTCACACACACATATATATAGAAAAGTTCAAACGATACTGATGTAACTTTTACTAAGTATTACACCACTCAATAACTTTATATTAAATGTGAATTTTATAAACTCAACCGTTAGATTGAAAGTTCATATCACTTTATATGTGTATATCAAATTTTATTAAAATTGAACAACAACTTGAAGATAATCAAAGTGTTCATATTTTATTGTATTTTAAAATGTATATATTATGTCAATTTTATTTTATAAGAATGAAGTATTAAATCATCTTGGATTAATATAAAATTTTGTATATATGATTTAAGAGTAAAGAACTTTCAATCTAACGATTGAATTTATAAAAATCATATTTAATATAAAGTTATCAAGCGATGTAATACTTAGTAAAAATTATATCGGTATCATTTGAACTAGGGATGGCAATGGGGCGCCATGGGGGCGGGTAATATAGTAAACTCGCCCCCGCCCCGGTAGATGAAAATTAGCACCATACCCACTCCATATCCACACGGGTATCCATTAAGCGAGTGTCCATGAATTTCTTAAATACTTACGGATATCTATGGATATTTATAAATTTTTAAGAAATTAAAAAAATTATATTATAAATAATTTTAAGTTTATATTTAATGTTATTGAAATATTAAAAATAAAAATTTAGTGTTAATTTTAAACTTGTATTTAACGTTAATTTTATTGAAATAATAATAAAATACATCAATCTCACAAGTAAGTTAAAATCTCATCACAAAGCTACAATTATTCAATCTCATAATTCCAAACGAAAGTAAACAACTTAAAATACATTAATCTTATTAGTCCAATCAAAGCTAGAAAATTAATCAAATTACATCCAACATAATTTTATAACATGCTTAACACATGTTGGTAACTTCATCAACCTCACTTTTGTAATAAAATAAGATGAGAGAGTATAGTTTTAGGGTTATGTGGTACAAGGATAATTAAGATATTTAAGAAATATTATTAAACGAGTACCCGTGGGTATGGATATCATCATACCCGCCCTCGCCTCGTTTATAAACGGGTAAAAAATTATCCATTCCCATTATCCGCGGGTACTCAATTAATTAGCCTATTCATTTATTGTCCGTAGCGGATTTTACCCGCAGATACCTGCGGGTGCGGGTATTTTTGTCATCCCTAGTTTGAACCCTCCTCATATATATATATAATCATTTAAAAAAAAAACTTAAAATGTTTACATTCACATGTATAAATAGTTATTATTAGTATATAAAAATATTAACCCTTATAAAAATTCAACCACACTACACTATTATAGGAGACACAATTTTTTTTTACTATAATATATAAAAATATAATTTTATTGAATTATATCATATTTTTTAGTGAAAAAGAAAAAATATATATAGAAAATGAAATAAAAAATTACTAAAACTGAAGAATTATAATTTTTTTTATAGAAGTTATATTCATGTTAATTTTTGTGTGTGTTAAATGTATTTAAAATATTTCACTAGCTCGTGTTTTTATTTTATTTTTTCTCATTAATTTGTATGCAATGTATTTAAAATATTTCACTGGCTCGTGTTTTTATTTTATTTTTTCTCATTAATTTGTATGCAAGTATGTAAGTGTACGAGAGTTGCAACAAATTTGAGAAAAGAAGAAAGAAAAAATTGTGCATGCTCATATTTGACTCTAGCAAGATGTAAAGGTGGGTATTTTCATGAGTTTAAGAAAAGAAACAAAATATAAAAAATACGTGCACTCCATATATTTTTCACGACAAGATTGAATAAGAACTTTTTTTTCTTCATAAGTTCTGCTTATAAATTATTCTTACAAGTTATTTTGGATATAATTTATCATTGAAAACGTGAAGAACTAAGTATCGAGAAGCACTTCATTATAATGTGTAAAAAATCATTCACACGCGAATAAATTAATTTGACATTAATCACATCTTAACACAAGAGATAAATTGAGTTTTAGGTCTGACTCCACACACATCTTTAAACTTTTTTACTGATAACAACTTAGTTAAAATGTGCACATGAAAATATAATACATTTAAGAGATGCTTAAAGTTTGCAGAAAACAGTCACAAAGTTGTTGATTTCCAATATTTATTAAAGATATTCTTGCGTCTAACATATATATTTGTGATCTCATTTATTCACCAGCAGGTTTTAGTAACTTAGATACACATGAATAACAAGTTGAAATGTAGCTAGTTATTAGAGGAATCGAACTCCTCGTGATGGCGGTGGCATCCAACTCTGGCATATATATTCAGGAGTTTGATTCGGTGGCAAGAGCTTCTCCCATCTTTGGATCTCCTCCTCACAATCAAGCTTTCTAATTCCTCCATAGTATCCACTTTCTTCTTCACATTGTTCACCATTTTTTAGAAACTTTGCCCGTCTCATCCTTGATCCATGAGAATATTGCTTGAACTCCACTATAAATGTCTCTATATATCGTTGCCACGCAACATATTCATCGAAAGAATTTAATTAGCATAACAGTTGTTTTGATAACTAATATGAAAATTATATATTATCAGGACCAACTATTTAATTAAAAGCACATGATTGATTATATATCTAACACACTCTAATTCTCCGATTTGGAATGATCAATTAAGCATTCGGTATAAAAACACTATATATAGCGAGCATGCAAAGCCAAATGATGCAAGAAAATTTCTCACCAGAGTAACGGCAACGACAAAAGTTCTCATTCTCATTACATGATTCCATGTGACCAATAACAGCATACTGATGAGCCTAAATTATACTTGTTTTTATACAAGATTTAATGATCAAATTCTTACATTCTTTGTATCATTGCATTTTAATTGTTCTCATTTTGGTTTCTTTTGTATATGCAGGTATTCAAGTAGAGAATTGAGGATAAAAAGGCCATTGGAGTGGAAACTCAAAGAATTAAGGAGCAGAGAAGGCTACCGCGCTGAGCGCGCCAGAACACGCGCCGAGCGGGCACAAAACAGAGAGAACTCTCAGCCTTTGGAGCTTCACGCTGAGCGCACAAGTAAAACGCGCTGAGCGCGCTCGAGGCCGAGAGCAATTGGAGCATCAGGGAAAGCACCCGCGCTGAGCGCGCAGCTTAACGCGCTGAGCGCGTAAAACCTAATCTGTCTCCCCAAATGCGTATAAAAGGCAAATTTTGAGGGTTTTCTCCCTCATTCACTCAGGGGCGCCTCCAGGAGCTGTGGAAGGGATTCCCAGAGCTTGGGAACGGCCATGGTGGATCATTCCTTCGGTTCTTCCTTTCCTCTTCCATCTCTATTTTATTTTTCCCCTCTTTGTTTTGAGAGGTTCTATCCTTTGTATTGGGGTTTTGATGTAACCAACAAACTTTATTGTAATCCTTTTGTGTTAATGATATATATATGTTTTGTTTCATTCTTTGTTGTGTATGATTCCATGCTTAATGCTTGCTTTGGCTTGATCACCCTTTGCATGATTTAAGGTTTCATTGAGTATTGGGAAATATCCTTGAAACTAGTTCTGAACATATGCCTAGTGGGAATTGTACCTAGGGATAGGGCTTGACCCATTAGTAGTCTTAAAACCCTAACCGGTAATGCAGGTAGAGGTATTGAGTACTCAAGGGATTGATATTCAATATTTTGCACCTAGGCTCTTTCTCTAAGGAATTAGGTCTGAGTAAATTTATGGTTGACTGAACAATGAATGTAACAAGAGACATAGGATTCACTAGTGTTTGTTTGGTGAAATCAAACCCCCACAACTTCAAGTGTCCATTTTACCATTTCTCACCCCATTTCATTTCTAATTCATTTATTTGTGTTTTAACAATTCCAGTAGTTTTGTTCTTAAATTCATATTCATATTTATTGGGATTGTTCTCAAGTCACAAGTAGCCAATGAATGCTTAGTTTACCTTCTAATCCCTGTGGATACGATATTTTTACTACTTGTACGGCCGGTACACTTGCCGTGTTTGAGTCCGTTGAGGGAAGTAACCTAATCTATAATTATAATAAAAAGTACTTCAACGGAAATCTCAACACATACCACCAATCTGCAACTCAATCGTTTAAGCATTACTTTTGGATAATTGATATAAAGATAATAGAATTCGAGAGAAACAGCCTAGCGCCATTTGTTTAAATTTTTTTTGAGGATTATAAAAATAAGTAAAATGATACTAATACAACAAATCTTATAACTTAAAAGATAAAAAGAAAATGGAAAATGTAATAAATAATGCGAAAGTGAAAGAAACCTACCATAAGAAATTTCTGTTCTTGCCTTCCATTGGATCTCAATATGATCCCCTGGCTTTAAGTCTTCTAAACAATCTGAGACGTGTCGATCACATGGAGGGGTATCAACTGGAGGGGCTCTCAGCTGATCCCATTTTATGTTGTTCCTTATTACGTCCAACCCCCATTTTGTTGTCTACAAAAAAATATACTACATATTTCATAAAGTATCAATCATGAATTAATTAATTCACCTAATTAATAAAGTAACTCCTGTTATATTTTTTTTCCAAATCATTTTAATTACTTAAATACAATTATTAAATATTTTGAATAAAGATGCTAAAAGTTTAGTAACAATAGAACCCAATTCATCTCTTTGGCACTGATAAACTAAAAAAATATGTTGCTAACTTTTATTTCATGTTTCATTTACTAATCTTGGATCAATTAACAAAAAATTAACCTTACTAAATATTTTCCTTTACCTTACTTCAAAGTCATCAGATTTGGAATCATATCTAACTAAGGCGTCGCAAACCAGTACTCCCTGAAAAAAGAAACACAAGAGGATGTCACTTGATAATAAAAATTTCTTGTTGAAAAATATAACAATTATTAAATATAAGAGGGTTTACCCAGTAAATTTGAGCTGGAAACCAAAACTTGCCATTCTCTAGAGAAATATACAATGCCATCTTAAAGCTATTAAGATGGTTACAATCTTCTAAATATGACCTAAGGTATAACATATAGGCCAAGTACCACTGAAAGACCCGAGTGATCCATTCTGATTATTGTTATGTTGATTCATTTGGTTAATTCGTTTTTCCTTTGTTGATGTAATATGTTGCCACTCCTTGTAAGCAACATCACCAATTACTCTACCCCATTTCCTCTTTATGTGCTCTTCCCACAAAGGATCACTTCGGCATCTATCTCTTAAACAAATACACACCTAGCTCAGACATCCTAACGAGATCGGTGAAAGATGCTTTAGAATGCAATCCAATATGGGTTGTGGCAAATTCAAGAGAGAATAATTGCCATCAATGTTGTCCATGGTATGCTCATAAAGGGTGGTCAATATTAGACACAGAAGTAGCTGGGGGGTCTTGTGTGCTTCCCCTTAGAAGCGTCTATATAAATCAACAGAGAAGATAAGATCAAAGTTGTTGAAAAGGAATTGCAGACTTATTAATTTGCTTGTTTCCGAAGCATTTAAAAATATGGTATATATTTATATATTATTTGTTGTGAGTTGTCACTAAAGAAACATTTTCCTCGTTGCTTACGAGATCATTTATATGTCTTAGGTTTCTCAATTACATTTCTTTCTGCAGCACGTCGTATTCTAAGCTACGCGTTATATTTGGATTCAATTATTTGCGAACTTCATTTATATATATTAAAATCTTTTCACTTAATGACTAATAAATTATTAAAATTTAATATAAAATATAAATTATTAAATAAAATAAGTCAAATTAAATTTACTTTTAAAATAAGTAGACACTCTCTATCTTTGTATATATACACGAATAATGCAGCCAATGATCGTACGGTTAAATACACTTACCAAATGCCTAATATTCTACGAAGAATCCAATGCTCAAACCATACAACTGATCACAAACTTTTGAATGCAATTTTAACAATGGGCTTTAAACATGTATAGTGTTGAGTGCTCTAATATTAAATTTGGTATTCTCTTGTCACTCAACAATTAAATTTTTATGGTAACGATTCATGAACACTTTTTTTTTTCCAAATATTTTATTAATACCTATCATTTTTTTTATAATCTTTTTCTTCTAAACATCATATTACTTTTTATATCTATATTTTTATTTTTTAATTTTATCTCTCTTATCAGGTGTCAAATAGACAATTAATGTTCACAAGGAATCAAACTTAAGACCTTATATATATACTACTATATATAAATCATTTTCTATTATGAAGTGTAAATGTAATATGTGATATAATATGGTAAAAAAAGGTATTAATGAGATATTTTGAGTAAAATGAATGTTCGTGTATAATTATTCTTTATGGAAGAAATTTATGATGTTCCTTTTTTGTGTGTACACGGGTTGCATTAGTCATGGATTCTTTTTATTTGTTATAATTCATGGTACTATACAAGACAAATATGATTGTTTTGTGTTTGATATACAAAGAGATCACAAAACATGACAAAAAAAGATGAAGAGGATATGACAAAAATCATTTTTTGTTACTCAATAAATCATGAGACACCTTGTTGTCTTGAATACAAAAAACACTCCCTACCACATTGTATCAATACCGCCTGACTCTTATTGTTGTTTAACGCCACCACAATAACAAAGCTTCATTGGGATAAGGGGTGGCAACAACCCCTATCTTGTTTTTTTTTTTTTTAAATATATATGAATTTTTATATAATATACTATAAATAATTTTGAATATATGTATATAAGTATTTTGGCTCCCTAAAATATTTTGACAAGATTCACCGCTTACCATAATTGTCACTAACCATCATCATTATTGCATCCCACACCACCATTTTGTCTCTCTACCATTGTTATTATTGTTGTCACTGTATATTACTACTATAACACTACAAGAAAATTGTCATACAGTGACACACACCTTATAGTAACACTATACATGTTACTAAAAATTACTTTTACCCACACAATAACTACAATATATGTTGATATATTATTAAAAAATATGGGTATAGACTATAGTAATACACAAAATATGTTGTTAAATCTCATTCAAAATTAACACTAAAATTGTATTTAACTATATGTCAAATATATATATATACCTACATATATTGTACCTATAGTGACACTTTTTGTATGTCACTATATGTAATATTTATTGTAGTGTAATCACCACCATTAATGATCTTGATTAAAATAATTATTATTATTTATTGTAAATTAATATTATAATAAACTTAAATTTTTTTATTTGTGATGTCCATGATTCACGTACCAAACAATATATAGAGCAAAAACTTTTTCAATAACCTGAGTAACATTTGTCATATATACGTTGTTCTCATTTTCTTTAATGTATATGAAACGCACCTTATATAACTTACGATTTCATGCATATATTATCTCTGCTCACATGGACCTAACTATAATTCAACATTAATGAGATTATTTATAATAAAAAAAATTTGTTTTTATTATTTTTACATGGCTATGAGCGAATCCCAGGAACCGTTTTAGCAACAGCTAGACTTGGGAAAGAAGAAACCAAAAATAACGAACGACTTAACGCAATTAAGGATGTGTGATGAAGGTGCAACATCATTTTTGGATAAAGTTGGTTGGTATCCGATTAGCCAGTGCCAGGCCACCTTGTAACTAAAGCTCCGTCCCACATTCCATCATCATAATATATACATAAGAGATCAGCCTTTGACATTTGAATTTTTTGACAGCATTTGGTTTTGGTGATATATATTCTCCTCCTCCTCCTCCTCCTCTCCCTAATTCGATCGATATATCTATTAATTGTTGCGAGCCATGGATCAAGCAGAGCTTGCACGAGTCTTCCAGATGTTCGATCGAAACGGGGATGGTCGCATCACGAGAAAAGAGCTTAGCGACTCTTTGAAAAACCTGGGGATCAACATCTCGGAGGAAGACCTGATCCAGATGATCGAGAAGATCGACGTGAACGGAGACGGGTACGTGGACATGGACGAGTTCGGCGAGTTGTACCAAACGATAATGGACGAGAAAGACGAGGAGGAGGATATGAAGGAGGCCTTCAACGTGTTTGATCAAAATGGAGATGGCTTCATCACGGGGGAGGAACTCAGCGAGGTCTTGTGCTCCCTAGGGCTAAAGCATGGCAAAACCGTACAAGATTGCCAAAGCATGATCAAGAAAGTCGATGTTGATGGCGATGGAATGATTAACTACAAAGAGTTTAGGCAAATGATGAAGGCTGGTTCCTTTGCTGCTGCTTCATTAAGTTGAGACTTCACAAGGTTAGAGCCTGTAATAATGTAATGTTAATGTTAATGTAACTCTTTTCTCTTTTATGGATAGATCGAATTTTGCACATAAAAGAAGAAATTAATTAATGACTAAGATGCCCTTCCCTAATTCTAACTCAATGGGGGTCAAATGGTTTCTTCATTCGTCAGAATATATGTTTGATGAGAATTTCTCAATTCTTTCTGTGCTTGCTTCATTGATTTCCTCGATCTATATATATGTCCAGTTGCTGTAAACCAAATTAATTAACTTTATCTGCATTCAACGCCGGTTCCAAAAAATCTGTTAGCGGAGGCAATAAAATATTTTATATCTTTTTTATTAAAAAAATTTAATAATTTTTTACAAAATATATTTTTATGATAGAAATTTAAAATACCTTATTTTAATAAATTAAAATTGTCTTATAAATAAAATGATAATTTTTTCTTTTTCTCTTTCTATTTGAGATTATATTTAAATGTCATTTTATAATTTTTTGTGACTTATTTAATATTAAAAAAATAAAATAATAAAAATTAATAAGATAAAAGTAATAAAATTATTAATTTATTTTCCTTTAGTTTTCTAAATTTCTACACTCATTTAAAACAAAAATATTTTATGAGTGCAATGTTTTTTTTTTTTATAAGAATAAATGTCTTTATTTAAATATGTTTAAGTTAAAAAAAATTGTGTGACAATTACTCTCATTCCTCTTAATGTGGATTGTCTACTAACAACATACAATATGCATATATACATGATCAAATGGTTAAAAAATAAAATAAAATTGAAAAATAACCTACATCAGTAAACTAAATTATGAAACATAAAGAAGTAATAACTCTTTTAGTAAAAAAATATAGTATATTATAATAATAGTAATAAATAAGAAGGAATTTACTTATTTCAAGAGTAAATTTTGATAGACTTACTTCACTCAATAATTCATGTTTTACATCAAATATTCAACCTTTCAATTAAAAATTTTTAATGTATAGATTGAATTTATAAAATTTTTTAAAAATTAAAAATTATTTGATATCTTATTTCATTAATTTAAATTAATGAATAATCATTAAAAAAAATATTTATATGTTATTTTGAATCTATCTAACGAAGTATTATATAATTTTTAATGTTTTTTTTAAAAATTGTAAACTTTATTTATATATTAAAAGCTTTTAATTTGATATAGAACATTAGTTATTAAAAAGAGTAAATCTATCAAGACTTATTTTTAGAGTAAGTAAATTTTTTTCTCATAAAAAAATTAAGATAATTTTATCGCAGAATAAAAATAATTAAATAATAAAATAAAATATCAATATATTTTATTATATTAGATATAATAAGATAATTAAATTATAATTAATAATATATTTTTTATAAAATAATTAATATTTAATATAAAAAAGAAAATAAACAAAATTTTAGTGCCCCACTACCGTATACTTGCATCCGTCATTGTCTGCATCGACCAAAAGCTAGCCTTTCTGGATTTTCATTTTTTTTTCTCATTCCAATACTATAAATTTGCCTCCCGTTAAAAGCTTTTTATTTTATTTTATTTCAAACTGCAATTTATGATAATCAACTTTTTCTCATTTAAAATGGAGGAAGTCATTATTAAATGTTTCTCCTGTCTCTCAAAGAAGTTTTTGTATAACATTTTGTTCAACTTACAAGAACCGTACCACGAAAGTGTTTTGAATATTCATAATCGAGTTTACCTACTTGACTCCAGGGATAAATTTTAAATCTGTTTATGTTAATCAATGGGGTGGAGACAATTCATATTTCTATTTATTTTTATAAAAAAAATAAAAACTATAGAGACAATTGTATATCAACTATAATAAATAAAAAATGATTGTGTGAATAATAGAAATTTTTCATTTGCAATAAAAATGTAATTTTCAATTACTTGAGAAAGTTGAAAATTTAAAATGTGAAAACAAAAATTTAGTTATAAATAAATTAGTTTATTTTTATGAAAGTTGTAAATAACAAAATGATTTTATTAAAAATGGAGACTAAAAGCAGGTGGAAGAGAGAAGATATATCCTTTTTTACCTTTTTTACCTATTATATAGATAATGTTTGACTTTTCATTAACTATTAAACAATATTTTTTTCATCTCCCACTCATAGATTACTAGTACATGATTATTCTAATTTGATTAAAAAAGTGTTGAATAATTCTTGGATATGTAATTGTTTATGTAATTGTTTTAAATATGAAGAAGGAAAATTTTGTAGGTCATAAATAATCTTACTTAACTTAATCAAAATCATCTTCAATAAAAAATACTCGTGATTTATTAATAAAATATAATATATATATATATATA